CCTTTTTTTTTTTTTTTTTCTTTCTCCATTTCAGTGTAAATAGAAGTAATTTTTCCATGGAGATGGTATTTAATGTCGTTTTAAAGATGCCATATAAATATGTGAACACGGAATTTGATTTTTGCACGGGGTTGCTTTTTAGGAAATGTCTGCAAGTAATGATAGCTGAGATTTGGTCAGTAGGTGTCCTTTGAGGTAGGGAGAGGCTACTTACAGTTCTGTTCTTACTTGTCCCCAGTTATTTGTTGCATTCTGACAAGGGTCTTCAGGAACCAGGCAGGAGACTGCAGTTCCTGGAGCTGATGATTTAGTCATCCTTCTATAGCAGCAATACATTAGGAGATCTCTTTCTTCCAGCTTCTCCTCTGCTCCTAGCTATGTATTCCTTCCTCCCCCTGTACTCATCTGGAAATCCTTCATTAAGCAGCTTTAAGTCACTAATGTGGCAGAAATTTAAGTAGTGTGTTTGTGGGGTTACTGACCTAGTTTTCTGCCAGACTGGTGAGTTACAGCAACTCGTGGGGGCTCCTGCTGTGGGTCAGCTCCGACAGTTGTTAAATAGTGGGAGTGTGCAGAGCTTTTGTACCATGCTTTTGACATTTTCAATGTTACTGGCAACTATTCTGAGAAGGAAATTTAGCTCTGCCTACTCACTGTATGTATTCAGGAACTTCAGGGCTGTTAGGTGTTGAAACAGAATCTGTGTATGTACTTGATTCTGTAAGTGGCTACATTTCTTAATAACACACATCTATATCCGATTTTAAATTTAAAGAGCCTGTGACATTTTCCAGCAGAATGGGCTGTATTTCTTTTTCCATGGTCTTGGACCAAAGTTGCATAGCTGGCTATCTAAACTAACCTCTTAAAACATGCACCAGACTGATTGGACTTAATTTATGTCAGTTTGTAAAGCGTGATTCTTCTGGATATGAGATGAACGATTGTAACAAAGTAGAATATTATAATGTTATAACTGAACAAATGTGAAACACTGTAGAATTTTGTAGAATAATTTAGTATTTGTGATGTGCAAAATGGCTTACAAGGTGTAAGCAGATAAAATAAATTCTTAGTAATGCAAGATCCAGGTGATTAACTATTTAAGTTCATAAGACTTGCAGGAAAAAGTACATCAGTTGCTGTTTATTTTTCCTGTAACAGCTAATATTCAAATCTGAATTTCCTTCCTCTACAGATACATTCATCCGCTTTCGAAGTGGAAATATGTGCCTGCTTATGTTTTCATATTTTTGTAACCATTTACCTTACATAGATTGAAAACAGGCTTTGGGTATCAAATACCTTTTTTTATCTTTCATTACTGTCAAAGTTCATTCTCATAAAACTAATTTAAGGTCACTTTGTTGTGATACAGTGCAATTGCCTCGCTTCATAATCTGTTTTTATTATATCAGCTCTGTTTGAAACTCTCCCTCTTCACAGTGCCTTTACGTTATCTTAGAGGAAGACCTGAGGTGTTTGCATTGGACTACAGCACAAGTAGTCTTGTATTTCATGGATTCTTGTGTATAAGGAAAGGCAAGTCTGATTATTGGCAACACTTGAAATTCCAAAGTCCACTGGTATTTGTCCAGGTCATTAGGAGTGAAGTTACTCAGGGTCAGCACAAAGGAGGAAGTAACAGATTTACTGCTAAGAAATGGCTGGGAAATGTCTGTGTGAAGTAATTACATGCAGGAAGCTGTATGGGAATAGGAAGTCCGAAAAGGCCAAGACTGGCCTATAAGATCTGGGGAGAATCCAGGCACCTACGACTACCAGGTTCATTGCTGATTTTTCTCTTCAACTTGAAGGATGGTTGCCCAACAATCTGGATCTGTTTTGGGGTATTTTGGTGTGAGTTTGTTTCCTTCCCCGCAAATAATTTTTTATTTTAAAACACGTAGTTACAGTAAATTCCTCTGTGTTCTGCTTGGCTTCTAGGGCTTTCTAGAGGCTTGTCAGAGATGAGTATAAAATGGTTTTCAGGAAGGAAGTCACATTGCTAGTAAATAGTCCAATTAAATTTTAATGCAGAGAGTGCATGAATGCCTTAATTTCTCTGGGACAGCTTCTATCATTCGTAGTTACTGAAATAATGAATGTTTTCTCTGTAGTTTATTTAAAGGGATCTTCAGAGAACCTCTTTGCATATTCTATCAAAATATATGCAGATTGACTACCCACAAGTCCATTCACTGAGCTATCAAAAATGTACTAAGGCACTTCAAAAGAATTGAGCCAAGTGAAGATTTTGTGTCTTCAAGTGATATCAGTACCATAGCAGATTCTTCCTATTTCTCATTCTTTAAGAGGAAATCTGGAATTTCTTCATCTATTGGTAGACGTATTTGGTAATAGGTTGCTGTGAAATAAGTGGTGTTGCCTTTCAACTCCACAGAGGTTGAAGAATGAAGTGCTGTGGAATTTGCTCTGTGAAGGCTTAGTAGTTCACTCTTCTTTGTACAACCCTATACTGTAATTACTCAATACATGACAAGGCTACAGTTTAAACTTCTATGAAATTCCCATAAACCACTGTGACAGTCAAGTCAATGATTTTAAGAATAATTTCCCTGTGAAAAAGTTATTGGTTTTAATTCTTGGAAGCATGGATAGTATCACCCAGTGGGATACTGAAACAGTCAACAGACAGTGAACATTCAGTCTGGTTTTGAGACTCCTCCAGTTAGTGTTTGGTGAGCTCAAATTTCTATTTCAGTGATCTGACCATTGACTCAGAAGTATTGATTTCTTTGCGTTTGTAGAATTGTTACATGTTTGATTTGCTTTTGAAGGAAGGAGTGAAGCCTAGTGTGCAGTTCTGTGGCAGCTGAAGTTTGATCTGAACCTTGAGCTGTCAAGGGATCCCCTTTCTTGATTTCCACCTGCCTCCTATGTGGCCTGCTAGCCAGTTGGCCTTGCCTTCTCTCCCCTGCCAGCACCAGTGCTTTGGTGTGCAGAGAGACCCTTTGGAGAGCTGATTTTCCAAAAGTAACCTCCCCTTGCACCCCTAGTTTGTTTTTTCCTCAGATGGTCTCTCTGAATTGATTCCCTGTGCAGTTTCATGAGGGAGGGGAAAAGCCAAAGTGATGCTAATCCTACTTCAGTTTGGTTTAAGAGGCAGTGTAATGGCCCCCGCAGAGAAAGAGAGAATTATTCCTGGATTACTGAATAACAGGGTTGTCTAGAGTTATTGAGCAGCTGATTAGAAAAAAAATCTTTGTCTAACCACAAGTGGTCCATGGAGTACTAGAGAGTTGATAGTTCACAACTGATGTGTGAAAACCATATTAATTTAAAACTGCATTGCCTCAATTAAAAGCTTGGCTTAAGGGTTGATGTTTTGGGAACTTCTTGTCTAAAGAGAGATAAATTTCTTTTTTTCATCCCCTATTCCCATTGGTAGTTTCCTTGATTTATAGAAGAAGGAGGCTTGTTTAGGGCTTGACTGTATTGTGCTTTTTAGTGAGCTTTGGGGCAGACTTTTTCTGCAAGGAAAAAGGAACTGAATAGGTTTGAGTTGGTTGTGTGTGATACATTGACTTTTGTTATCTTTTTGAATTTCTGCAGTGATTTTTTTTTTTTAACTTTCTGTCATGGATAAATAGCAAGTGGTGTGAATGCATAAGTGTTGGGGTTTTTTCTTTTGTTTTGTTTTAAAGGACCCATTTCTACTTGAGAAGCATTGCTTTGTGGTGCTTCCCAGCCTTTCTCTTTGTTTCATGTGGGCCTCCCTAGAATGCTTAAATATGCTAATCCCTGGCAGCAGGAGGGTAAAGGCTTTTTAAACTTTTTGGTTTTGTGAGCCTTTGGTTACTTCAGATAATAAGAAAATGTAAATAATAAAGATATGTAAATGATGTGCATAATTATTTGCTAAGACTATACTGCAGACATAGATTGCTTTTGGAAGACTTCTAGAATAAAGTGGGATAGATATTAAGAGATAGTAGGAGACTAATTTAAACAGCATACTTACAGAACTCTGAACTGGTTTAGCTCTAGTACTGAATTGTATTTGATTTCTTTTAAAGTGATAAGTGATGAAAAAAGCTAATGTTGCTGTTCTAAAATGAAATTAAATGGTCAGAAAAATTTTATATGTTTATACTTAACCTATTTCTAATGTAAAGGTTTTCTACTGAAGAGTTGATTGTGACTATTTTTTTCCCCCTCTTCCCATTTAATCTGTTGCTCTTTTTTGGATTATTTGGTAATGTGATAGCTGCCTTATGGACACAAGCTGTTACTCTGGTTTTGCACCATGTTTGGATAAGCTGTAAGCATTACATACAGAACAATGCAAGTAATATCTTAAAAACTTGAGATTTTAAGGAAGTCATTTGCATTTCTGAGGAAAATAAGGGAGTGATACAAATTAACTCGATGCTAGATGGCTCTATGATTTTTTTAGAGATATTAATGTGAGATAGAATGAAGGAAATAGACTATTGACTTCATCACTGTATGATCTATTGCAAACTTGCTAAGTATCAGGTTCAAAATCATAATTTGGGACACATACAATGGGGAATTAACAAATCCTTAATGTTAAGCACTAATGTTAAGTTAAACACTAAATTAAAGACATGCTTATGCTCTGCTGAATACTGTACTTCAATATTAAGCCAAACCAAGACATTTATCTTGTGTTCATAATAAGTGGCTTAGATTTGCATGAAGTAATATTTTTCTTGGTGCGTAATTGCTTTTGTATAAAGTAATGCTTTATAATGGACTTTTATACAGTTGGATAACTTTTTTTTTAATGTGACCTGGTAAACAAATGTTTTTGGTAGTGAATTATGGACATTTTTAACAGGAGCTTACATGTACTAGGGTATAATTGTCTATTCCAACCCTAGAGAAAGATGTCAATCTTTTCAAGATTGAAGGAGGTCATTGCTAGCAAAATGTTTTGTTGCTGTTGTTTTTAATGCAAGCTATTTCATGCCATTTCCTTCCTGAAAAGAATATTGATTAATGACTTTAAAGGATATTTAATTGCATTTAAAATTTTAAATTGCTTGACATCCATATTTGCATTTTAGTTGGGTAAAGTCCATTGTTGCTTTTCTATGAAAGTTGTGATTTGATATAGTTGGTTTCTCTTTAAAGGTCGTTGATACACATGCATGGGATAGAATAGGATGATAAAAAGGAGAAATACTCAATACTTCTCTGTGAAAGAAAAATTTCTAGAGGTTTGTTTTGTTTTTTTTTTACACAAAATGTCGTATCTCTGTTTTAGAGTGTCCTAAGCTACCGATGCTTAGAAGCCAGAAAATTGTACTGGAAAATATTATAAGTTTGTGTGTCTAACATCTGAAACTGGTCAGTATTGGAAATGATCCAAAAAACATATGCAATGTAAGTGTAGGGTTTCAAAAATATTCTACTCTG